ACATAATCTGCCTAACTAGAGTATCTCAAATTTGTCTTATGACATTATTGCCTACTATTAATGAATTTTGTAAAACTCTTTTGTAATGGGAAGAATAACATATTTCAAAGACTAACTCACAAGTTATCACTTTTAGATTTTTTTGGTTGAAAATTTAAGTCTTGACTCTCTTCTTCCTATGTTTTACTCTAAGTGTACTTTGACCTATAAATAAATTTATAGCTTAATTTAAATCCTGAGAAGTAATTTCAGGTTCTTTTATGGCTGTTTTGATGCTGCTGGTGTTTTATAAATGTGCTGTTTATTAATTGTGACTTTTGCTCAAACTCTTTTCTCAGGAAGGCAATTTTTCCACTGTAGAGAAAATGAGACACATTGAAATTATGCTCCCTTAACTGTAGAAACTACAAAAAGGTGCTGATAATTTTAAATATTTTAGTTAAAATCATGCAATAAATGGCTACTGAGACAGAACAAAATAGAACCACTGTGTGGTCAAGAGTTATTAAACTTACAAGGAAAATGAATATCATAAACACATTAGCTCAGTCTAGCGCAAAGTAATTCTGTGGATTCAATAACAATTTCTTATTTAATGGCAGATTCACTGTGGTTTTCTTTTTAATAAACAAGAGAGCAAATAAAGGACCTTATGAATATGCTGTAGTAAATGTTTCATTTACAAAGACTCTTTTGTCTTACCTATGTTGCAGTCTGATAAAGTCAATAACATTTCTTAGATGGTGGAATCTGCATTCAGTCAATGGTCTTGAAGAGATAATGTAGCCCATTTAATTTTGATTAGCATTAAAATTTCTTGAAACAGGTTCTTTCTGTTAGGAAACTACAATTTCTAGTGTAGAAATTCAAGCTTTTTTCAGTATCCATGCAATGGATGTTTTTCTCTCAATATCTTATATCATAGGATCATAAAATGGCTTAGGTTGAAAGAGGCCTCAAAGATATAGTTCTATGGGCAGAGATGCTACCTACTAGATTAGGTTGCTCAGTCAAGACCCCCATCCTGTCTATCAATAGCTACTATTTATTTCATTTCAAGCTCTTATTATATAATTCTTTATCTCACTATTAAATCAAACTATATATTTTTAATTTACTGCCCTACTGCAGTACAAATACATGTAATGCCTTTCCAAATTTATGCACAGAAATAAGACTTCATTAATGCTTTCCATTCAGAAAATACGGTATTTTCAACTTTTGCCAGTGAACTACATTGGCTTAACCAAGGCAGAATGGATAGATATCTTTCCTCTCCTAGAGCCTGATTCCTAGCTCAGGTATGGACTAATTCAGCAATACAACAGTCCAGCACTGATGAAAATTATTCCTGTAGCCTCACAGCTAACAAGCAGATATCTTTTGTGCCGGAGTAATTCTCTGATGCTCTTTCAGACACGCTGAAAGGCCAGAAAAGGGTACAAAAGGGCCTAAGCAAAAGACTGGATATGGTCTTTGATATTCACAGTGAAAGAATTCTGAAAGGCAAAACCTCATTAAGAAATATACCAAGGGCATGATTCAACTGTTTTCACAAGCCATACCACCTCACATCAAAGGTAGTCTGATAACTAGTGAGAATAAATTCAGTTTGAGAAGCCAGCCTCGAAAGGGCAAAGGTTTGTGATGACAGAATTGAGATAAATGCCATTTAATCCAGCTGGTCATGATTTCTCCTAAAGTTACCTACTTTGAACACTGGCTTATAATTATCATTACAATTATTATAATTAATTTTTATAATTTTCTAGACAATTATACATATAGTTTTATATATATATATATAAGTATTTAGGAAACTCTCTCCATCTTAGTACAAAAAGAGGTGTCAAAACCCTGAAAAGGAAAATTTTCAGCTCGGGGTGTCTGAGGTTGGTCTAACTTTATATCTACACACCGTGTCTGAATCAGTTGAAATATAGCCCATTTGGGAGTAGAAATCTATAACTTCTCCACAGGCAGAACTTTCACTGTGGAGATAAAAGTGCTCAGTACTGGATGCTTTCTTTTCTTTGTTGATCTTCGCCTAAACAGTGATACATAATAATTAATATCATAATATAGAAATTCCAACAGTTTTGATAGGATATGCAATGAACAGCAATTCAGAATTGTGCTATTCTTTTCACTACAGAAAGTTTACTAGAAACTGTTGCCAAGCAAGACAAAGCTGAAAAAATGGATTCATTTGAATTAATCTAATAAAATAGAACCCTGAGCAGTAAAAAGGAGTTAAGACTAATAAATGTATTTGGTTATAAGTATTTCAAAACTTTAAGCTAGCTGTACAGTATCCTGAATATTCAGCACTGATTTCAGAGTTGTTCTGCAGTCATTTTGACCCTTTGTGATCATGGATTTGGCTCTAGAGTGGAAGCAATTCCTGACTCAAGTGTTCAGGCTCAGCCACAACTAGACCTTTAAAACAATTACGCTATTTCTGATTTTTATTTGTGTGGAATAGACACCTTTGAGAAATAAAAAATTACTGTTAGTTTTATGAATTATTCTTTGCTGAGATAGAAACACAAACCCCAAAATGATAGCTTTTTAAATCTGATTTTGGAAATGAATTTTATTTTGACTGGCACAGAGCACTTTAGCAAAAGCTGGGTGGTCCCAATTACTATATGAAACTTTTACCAGCTACTTAGGAGCAGCACTTGCTGTCTTTTTAATAGCAACTCAGGAATGTCTTCAGCTATATTTCATTAGCAGTCTTAATTGAAATATAGAAATGAGAAAGTGTGCTTCACTTTCAGTGTGGAAATATCAGCTTATAGATACATTTCAGTTGAAAGACTTTTTGAGACTTTTGAGAACTTTTCATGCCAGAAGAAATAAGAAAGACTATTTAGACTAAGGGAACAAATGATTACTTACAGTCAAGTCTGTAGAAGTGTTTTTTAGGTTGTGCGCAGTGTTTAGTTGTCAAAGTATTTACTTAGAAATCAATTTGAAAATTTCAGGCTTGGTAACCTTTATTTATGTTTTTAGGGATCAAATTCGCCTATCTACACGTAATTGTCCACTGCCATTTAAATTGCTTCACGGTAGCCTACTTGACCTCCAGCAGTCACGCATATTTCTCCTGTGTACTATTTGCCATATCTCTCAACCTGCAGGGAATGTCACCAGACCTTACATGCTATAAATAATATTTTAACACTGTCTGTGCATAGCTGAACCAAGCCATATCTTTGAAAATGAAGATAGCATCCCTGCAGACACCTACACATATTTATACATTTTCATTAACGTTAATGTTTTTAGCACGTTTAATTTGGGGTTTTTTTTGTGTTGTTCTGCATTTCTTATTCTCCGCTGAAGAACAAAAATATGATTGTGGCTGGTGAACAAAATTGTTCTTTAGACTCAGCCAACTACCCTGAGCATGACAGCAATTTAAACACCATGGACATCCACAGATTAACACCTACATTTGGGTTCCATAGTATGGATTTCACCTGTAGATACCTGATAAGTATAAAGATAGTTAAATATAGTAGGACTGGATACAAAGAAATAGTTGTGGGGGGGAAAAAAGTGTATTTTCTTTAGCATCTCTCATAGAAGAGTAGGGATTCTCCTGGGTACTTTTATCAGAGCACAGGTATATATGTCAGACAGTGCCAAAATGTTCTCTGGCTTCAGTGACATATTTAGTGGTAGTAGGGTACTTCCTTATTCACCAGCATCCATACCAATGAAATACAATGGTAAACACACATTTAAATAACTCTGAATTCATGGAGCGCTTAGGACAGTAAAAGCTTCCAAATGAGTAATTGCTTCACACAGACAGCTTTCACATCCTAAATTGCTTAGTGGTTGGACTTCAAAATAGCCTGTGTTTCTATTAGCTAATCTCCAGGCACTGTAGAAAAGGCAACAGCCTGCAGAAGGATTCATATAAGAAATAAAGGCAGCGTATTATAAGTGAGAAAGAACAATCAGAACTGTTTCCTCTTGGGAACCATTATAAAGAGAATAATGAAGCAAGTTTCTTGCCTGCAGATAGTTACAAACACAACATATTTTTTGTTAAACCATATTTTTGTCATTTCAAGTTTAAAGTATTTTTCAGAACTTTTCCATGACTTTCCAACATAACTCAATCCCCATAATACATTCTGATGAAGAAAATCAACATACAGTGCCTGGGGGTTATAATTTTCTTCCTTGCAGAGTAGATGTGCTAGTGAGGCCAAGACTTTCTTCAATATAAGCAAGATACTTGAAACTGAGGTAGTACTTTTTAAAAATCCATGTTTAAAACATAACGTGCTATTCCTATCTCTGCAAGGCATTTCATATTTGATCTCTACTATATTGTAAGTGTAAAATTCTTTCTGAACATAAGTTCACATTGACAGATTTGTATGTGGAATTGGTCAAATATCAGATCTAAGACTGACTACAATTTTCCATATCATTTGTACTTTAGCATACAGAGTAACTTGTTTTGTTTTGTTTTGTCAAGCAAGGTGAATTAGAAGCTTGTGAAACTATTCAGCATTAAAGAAATATGCAAGACAAATGTTAAAATACAGGACTGCAGTTGTCAGGGTATTTCTCACTCCTTTGATGCACAATAAAAACAGAGAAACTATGATAAATGAATTGCACATTTCTTATTTGCCTGGATTGTCAATTCTAAGTTAGCAATTCCATTTCCACCTCACAGATGATGAATTTAGGCAGCAACCCTACTCACATGCTTTATAAATCTGTAGAGACATACCGGCATGTCACTTATGGCACTCATGGCTGTATATATTCAGATGGGCAAAACCCGAAATAGTATGTGAGTTTCATAATAATATTAAAAACATGTTTGCTCACCATATGAAATTCATATGAGTTTAAAATATTATAATTTTTCTTTTTCCCATTTGGTCATATCAGATAATTGGTTTTATTTATGCAGTTCTGAGCTCTTGTTTTATTAACATTTTTGTTTGTATGGATTTTCTTAGGTTATATTCAGTTGGAGGTCGGGATGGAAGTTCATGTTTGAGTTCAATGGAATATTATGATCCTCACACGAATAAATGGAATATGTGTGCTCCTATGTGTAAGAGAAGAGGAGGTGTAGGAGTGGCTACATGTGATGGCTTTCTTTATGCAGTTGGAGGCCATGATGCTCCTGCTTCTAACCATTGCTCTCGACTGCTGGACTATGTAGAAAGGTATGCAATTATACATGCATGTTTTAAATACAAAACAATGCCCAGTTGCATAATTTTCTTCGCTTTGCAGTGATAAAATTTAACATGCTTTTACCCTCAAAATGCTTAATTATTACTTACTCAAAAAATTCTATAAATGCTTTTAAAAGAGAATTTCTTTCAAAGTTTTCTTTCCTTTTTGTTCACTCTTTTTACACCCCATTTAAGTAATCTTTGTTTTTAAGGTATGATATTACACATTGAAGTCATAAAGTAAACTTTGTAGAAAGAAATATTTTTCCTTGAAATAAATTGTCTGCTCTTCACAAGTTGAGAAAATGCAATGTTCTATTCCTTTTTAAAAGTAAAAGCAACTAGTTCTTTTTTTTAAGAATTATACAATTTGGAGATATTTTGGCAGATGATGAAATAGCTTTCTTTCTCAAATGTTACTCAGAACTTGACAGATGCTAAAAACATAAGCATTTGATCGAGAGATTTTCCCCTTAATCTCACCTTGATTTCAAAATTATTTTCTTTCCACATTCAGAAACTTTTATCATAACCCTTCTCAGCATGAGGCATACCTAGTTGTTATAAAGATGACATACACGGTTGTTTTTAGTTGAAGAAATGATATAAGAAATCTCAGGCATTTTCCTGGCAATGACAAAAAAACCAAGTTCTTGTGCAGTTCTATTTTGTTGACAGAATTGAGTTGTAAGGATTCTGTTTAGCCTTGCATACCTGTTTCTTGGAGGGGGGATGGGGGGAGAAGGAAGGTCCAAAGCTGTTAATTCTATTGTTTCCCAGCTTTTGTACCTCCTCACCTTGGCCCTGTAATTCAAGAGTAGTGTATCAAAGACTCTATTGACATTCATCACCTTTAGGCAGGCAAAGATTCGGCACATCATTGCATTTCACCAGATGGGAAACTTTCAGCTAGAGGCATATGATACTGCTGTTGAAAAGCTCACATAGTCTGAAAAAAATCCATTCAGAATTATTTTGCTTGTTGCATGTTCATTTCTCTTCCACATATTTGAGCAATGTCTGGAAGTATTTTTCTCTGAAGTTATGAAAGACATTTATCATATGTGTAGATACTTTACTTAAAATTACTTAAGTTAGAAAAATGAAAAATTGTGAATTAATAAAATTAAGCAA